AATGACACCAGGATCCCTGTAACTACCACTAGGTTTTATCACTTGTGTCTTCAACTTTTAGACTGGAACTGCTGTATATTCTCCCTGGAGCTTCAATATACTCGGGTTTAAGTAACTTCTTCACGTTTCTTTATTCTAACACTTCTTCTGGTTTGGGATAAACAGAGTTTTCATTAAGCTTAAAAAAGCCCACTTTCCAGAATAAACTTTTGAGGCTCTGTGACTTTGCATGCTAGGTCATAAACATCTTAAAATAAAACGAAGTCCACAGACCCATTCAATCTAGAGTCAGGCTTCAAAAACTGCTTCAAAAGAAATTGCTATGGTTACAGAAGTACTTAGAAGTTAACTACTCCGTTCAGACCCACAGAAAACCCACCAGTTACGAACTCTTACCTAGAGCCAAACTCTCTCTAAATAACATTAAAAATTATACTTGTAAATCCCAGGGTTTACATCACATCTGAGGCTGCCACTTTAGGTCCTGAAAGGTGTCCAAGTTAATTTGGGAAGGATGGGTGTCTCAAAACTTTTACATGCTGCTTAAAATTTAACTGTTTTATGCTACTACTATGCAGTAGTAATACAAGTGGTGGTTGCACGGAAACAAGCCCTTTGAACCAACTCGTCTGTGCCAACCAGATATCCTAAATTGAGCCAGTTCCATTTGCCAGCGTTTGGTCCATATCCCTCTAAACCCTATAAAAATCGAAAAAACTGCGGATGCTGTAAATCGGGAACAAAAACAAATTGCTGGAAAATTTCAGTGAAGGAAAAAAATAATGTTTTGGGTCCGGTGACCCTTCCGCAGAACTCTGTTTTTTTCCTTCACAGATGCTGCCTGACCTGCTGAACTTTTCCAGCAACTTTGTTTTTGTCCCTCTAAACCCTGATTATTCATGTACCCATCCTGATGCCTTTTAAATATTGTAATTGTACCTGCCTCCTCCACCTCCTTTGATACTCGTACCATATATACACCACCCTCTGCATGAAAACGTTGCCCCTTGGGTCCCTTTTAAAACTTTCCCCTCTCACATTAAACCTATGCCCACTCATTTTTTGGATCACTCTACCCTGGGAAAAAGACCTTGGCTATTCACCCTATTCATGTTCCTCCTGTAAGGTTACCCCTTAGCCTCTGATGCTCATGGGGATAAAAGACCCAGTCTATTCACCCTTTCCATATAGCATAAACCTTCCAATCCTGGCAACATCCTTGGAAAACACTCCAGTATCTGGTTGGATATAATTCTGCAATTGGATACTATTTGCTAAATAATTGTGTGCCTGCTAAGAATTATGCTCATAACCAATTTCAGAGTGTGCTAGTCCAACTCCTAGTTTGGTGCCCTTGTGATACTAGAAGCTGGATATATTAATGCAGAAATCCCTGTTCGTTGCAGGTATAAAGAACGTGCAAACTGTTTGGACTGAGATGGACAGCATGCAGTGTCTTTTTCTAGACCTACTGCTCCACTTGTCACAATGTAAATGAAAATATTTCGCTCAAGTCCCAATATTGTCAATTGTATGCTTTCTCTGTTAGAGCCATCGAGCAGGTTTCTTCCGAAAACAATTATTGATTGCTTGGTCATATTGAAAAAAATCCATCTAATACGGATATAGAATTAACACACAGTTTGAAATAGGAAACTCTGAGTAGTTGTTTCTCTGGGTAACCCAAGACACAGGCATGCGCACACAATAATCTTTAAGCAAAGGGTAATAAAGCGGATTTCTCTCTACAGTATTCTTGGAGGCACAAATGTTAACATAAATTGTTCCAAAGTCAATAGATTAGTTGACCTTGCACATGTGGTCAAGTAAGTAATCAAGCATGGTTGTTCCAGAGTTTTAACACAGATTGTTCAAGAAATACAATATTGAATTTTTTCAGTCTCATGTTGTGCAGAACAACAGCTGGGTTTCACATTGAATGCATTGCAAAAGGCGCTTTAAAAGGAGGAGACACAGGTTGGGCAACTTGTTTTTAAGCAGGCTTTCCAAGCTCCAAGCCTGCAAACACTGTTCAAACTGGTCACCTGTAAATCCCAATTGTAAACAGGTGTTCTTCCTGAAGTCAGTTCAAACAACTGGGACTATTTATTATTACAGGTCACCTGATTTCCAAGAAGCCGCCTTGTTAAAAAAATTCCAATGTTATTTCATTGACTTTTAGTTTAAAGAAGCAGGTGTCTCTATAATCCTTCAAACTAGAGTCCTTAAAGAAATATTGATTTAAGAAGTAGCTTTATAATGTAAACTGTTCTTATTTCAAGTGAACAAAATAGGCAACAGCCATTTTCTTCATTTCTCAGGGTAGTGCCTTGAACAATTGGTCAACCTGCCTGGTTTAAATTTAAATAAAGCTTGACAGTTAACTGTCAATCATCATCCTGCCAGTGCATTTTTCATGACAATGTCACTACCGATCAGAGACTATTCTTGGAGGCAAAACCAATCAACATGGACTTCTTATATTAAAAGTATTCTTATCTTCATATTGGTGTTATTTATGAATTGTCATGATGAATGTGAGATGAAAAGGTTTGACAAAATGTAATCTTTTTAGCATTAGTCAACTTGATATTTGCTGTTTTCCTTGCATTCTGTGAGTAATTTAACTTTAGAAAAAGTTTGAAGCAAATAGTATATATTTATTTGATTTCTCTTTCTGTGATGGATAAAATAGGTGCAAGACTACATGGTTAAGAATGAATGGTACTTTATCGGGAAGAAACCTGAAGAATTAGGAAAATGAATGAAATGTTATGTAGAATAGCTGTAAGCAATCAAACTTGTCTTTTTCTGTTTGCCTGGATGCACAAATTCTGGATTGGCATTGATAGAAAATGTCCTATATTGGAGCAAGTCACGAACCTCTTTTTTTTTTGAAACCACAATTCACAGAGGAACTGGGATAGATGTAACTTTTTTTATTGAAGTATTGTTTTCATTTCTAATGCATGAAATGCTACTCATCTTTATAACTGATCATTCTTTTTTCTCTAAGTTGCACAGCCATGCTCTTGCGCGTCAGCCGTGTACCAATGAAAGGCTTCGCTTTTGGAAGCCACTAACACATGGGGGACCTCTGAGGTTTGCGTAGTGGCTGGAAAATTGTAGAGAATGTTAACTGACAAATGATTTGTCTTATACTTGAATTGATGAGGAAATTTAATTAATGTTGTGCAAGAGCAGATGCGTTTTCTGTGACATTATGAAATAGTTGTAGATTTAGCTCATGATTTCCAAGTTTTGGTTGAGACACGATTGCAATCTATCTTTTTTTTTGCTAGCTTTGCCTTTCTTTCATTATTTATTTTAAAATTGTTGCTTAAAGTTTTTCTTTCATAATTGTCACCATTTTCTGTTTCCCTGGTTGAAAGGATGTGTAGGATGCCTGATGTCAGATGTCCAGATGAGTATTTGAAGATGCTCAAAAGCTGAGTGCGTAGTCGAAATTATGAACTGTTTATGTGGCACAGTCCCTTGAACTGTACGAGATAGATGCTCCTACTTAGGTAATAGGACTCTGGTTAAAAAGAAGTAATTCAGATCAAAAATAAGATGTGGTGTTGCTTTATCAAGCTGATTGTGTTGGTAATATTTTGCAGATATTTAAAATTTATCATTCTACTTGCACATGTTTGATGCTTTCCATGTAAAAGTGTTTCTGTTTTAAAACATGCAGCGAGTGTACCATAGGTATCATTTGCATATGTCTTCACTGAGGTAGCGCACTGAAAATCAAGCCACACTAACCTTGGACTCCTCTCAGAAGTCAGAGTTTTTTTTCTTGAAAATGTAGAATTCTTCGATCTAACTGGACTTTCGCACCCGGGATAACACAGAATGGACCAGGTTCCTGTACTTAACAAGAATGATTATTTATCACCAGTAAATAGAATCCACTTAAATCTACTTGTTAAAACCATCAAAATCGCCACCAACCCCAACCACCAAAACAAACGGTAACCTCCCTCTTGCGCATCTGTGCGTGCACACATTTGAATACAGGCATGAATAGGAAAAGAATGGTGTTATGGGTGGAGGGAAAAGCTGGAAATGCAGTTCAGTTTTTCTTTTTCACAGAGTCTCCTGAGGTGGTTCTTGTGCTAATCAGAGCACTGCTTTTTGGTCTTCGTTCTTTGGATCAGCTTACTGGCTAGCAGGCGAAGCAGGGTGGCTAGTACACACTTTTAAACTTGTAAATTTAAAGTCACAGCATCTGCTGAAGGAAGAATAAATGGGTTTTCTTCAAGCTTAATGTAGCTTTTGCTACAGAGAACAGAGAGCTCCAGAGTTGATAGAGATCAGATGATTTTCCCTGTCTTGTTCACAATTCTGAACTGATACCTGACAACCAATCACATAGTTGTAGGCAAGCAAAGGGTCTTTATCATGAATAACTGAGCACTAGTCCACAGACTATACAGCTCCTTTTTTGCCATCTGAATCTTCATTCGTACACACCCTTGGCTCCAGCTCATCTGCACCTCTTCCTACTACTTCATTGGCGTTATCTGTAAAGGATTGCTTGGGCGGGGGGGGAGAAGAAAATTGGATTGTTCTTTTTCAATTTGTGATGAAATCTTTCTAAATCATGTATGTAGCTTTTTTGGAATGTAATAAACTTGTGGGATTTTTGTTGAAACAACATTGACAGCCTCGTGATTATGTTCAGTGACTGACAACCATGGTCATCAAATTACAGAAAAAGTTCTCAGGTTTCGTGAATCTGACAACTGTAGTACAGTAGTACAATTAAGTGAGATCATAGTGTCCACGTGAGAATAGTTTACAGTGTCGAAAGAGGAAGAGATACAGAAATACAACAGTAATATGGGACTAGGAGTAAATCTGCCTGATGAAGTTGAGCTTTCTCTTTTGTGCCAAGCATTTTTACTGTTCTTTTGTAAATGCTTTAAGTGTATTATAAGATTATATAATAGTAGCTGCCATATCTTAAAAAAACTTTTTAAATAACATTTCAGGCTTCATGAAGAAATTATTGACTTCTACAACTACATTTCGCCTAGACATGAAGAGGAAAAAATGCGGATGGAGGTTGTTGAAAGAATAGAAAGTGTCATCAAAGAACTGTGGCCCAATGCTGATGTAAGTACTTAAAAGGGCATCAGTGTTCTCCAAAGATACTTGAAAGAAGGTTTGCATAAACTGGTGGTGAGTTATTCATTTGACTTCAAAGAAAATCTGAACCTTTAATTCAGTCTACAATAGGAAGTTTTTCTTCAGTAACGTACTTATGATTATTGCAGCTTACTTAATTTTGTTAGACATATGGCAAAATGCTACTTTTGAATGGAAGTTTTAAAGAGTGGTTTTTATTATTTTATGCCAGGACCTCCGTGTGTATTTTGTGCTTAAACAGATACAGGATACACTATTTGAAAATGTCTCTGATCTTGAGCACTTTTTCTCTCTCCTCTTAGTTTTATTTGGATACTACAACCTAGTTGTAGCCACTAGTGGGCAGTAAACGTCAACAAATGATGTAGTTAGGTGTATTCGGTTTTACTATGACAGTAACTGAAATATGTTCCCTGAACGGTACAATTTAACTGATGCTAAATAAATTGTATTTCAGGTGCAGATATTTGGAAGTTTTAGCACTGGTCTGTACTTGCCAACAAGGTAATAAATGGAAAATGCAAATAGTAATGTAGTGTATTTGCATGAGTTTATGCCAAGCCATTCAAATGCTTCAGGTGCATTGTTTGAACTTTTTATAAAACATTTAAGATAATGTGCATTTAGATTTTTAGATACTGCCAGTTTCCACCCTTTTAAAGTTTATTCTGAAACCTCAACATTTTATTGACTTTATTCTAGATACTGTATTACTCATCATTCTCTTTCAAATGATAAAGACGTGTAAAAGTAGTTTCAGTATTAGTGTAGCTTTTCTAACAATGAAAAATAAACTTTAATGAGTTGCAAACTGGTACTTTCTGCATATCGAATCATTATTTTTCTTGCAATAACATAACTTATGTCTGTAGTATTTCTAACACTAATAGAGTGAAGTAAATTTATTTTGTGTATTTCAATCTGAGTGTAAATTCATTTTTCTTTGGTTTTTTTTAAATCTTTCATTTCCACTTACCCTTCCCAGAGCTTGCCAGGATATAGTTCCATCGATGCTGGCTGCCTTCCAAAATTCAGTTCAAATGGCTACTACTCTAAAATCCGTTAGAAAGGGAATAGTGCATTTGAGTCAATGTTAATACGATCAAACAGAGTCAGTTTTTATTAGTTCTTTGAGATTGTAACAGCTAGCTCTATGTTCTTGGATTTCAAAAGGCATTTGCTAAGATGCCATACAAAAGATGACTGCACAAGAACTCAGCATGTTGAGATGATCATTTTAACATAGAAGATTGCCTAACTAACCAGAAACGGAGAGATACATTGGTCGGTTAAGGATTTGGCAAACTAACTACTGTGTGCCATGGGGAAAAATGCTGTGATCTTAACTGTTTGCTGTATATTAATCTATATAATATTTATTGATTGCTTGGATGAAGAAACCGAGTGTAATGTAGCCAAATTGCTGATGAAAGAAAGATAGCTCAGAAAACAAGGGAGGAGGACGTGAGGCCTGCAAACAGATAGGTTAAGCGACTAGGTAAACTTTTAGCAGATGGAATATAGTGAAGAAAAATGTGAAGTTATCCACTTTGGAAATAACACTAGAATATCAAAATATTAATTTAAATGAAGGAAATGTCACAAGACAGAACTGTGTTCTTGTGCTCAGATTGGCAAGTGATTAGAAAGACAAATTGAATATTGGCCTTTATTGCAAGAAGGATGGAGTATTAAAGAAGAAAGGTCTCGCAATATCTGTACTGGGCACTGGTGATTCCGTACTTCATGTGCAGTGTACAGCCTTGGACTCTTTGTTTAACGAAGGATACAGTTGCATTGAAATAATCTGGATTAGGTTTGGTTGGCTGATTTCTGGGATGAAAGAGTTGTTTTATTAAGAAAGCTTGAGTGCCTGTACTCAAGAGTTGGGAAGAACCTGGAACTAGGGCTCACAGTTTCACAACAGCTGTTGACCCGTTTGAGACTTTTTTTGAGAGTTTCTTCGCTGAGTTTGGGGTTCTCCGCTTCTGAGAGCGCTGGAGCCTGGGTCATTGAATATATTTAGAGCTGAGCTGGACAAACTTTTTTGACCTACAAGGAACTTTTAAGGTTATGAGGAGCGCAGTTGGGAAAGTCAAGTTGACCATGATCAGATTGGCCATGTTCACTGAATTGCAGAACAAGCTTAAGAAGCTGAATGGTCTGTTCCAGCAATTTCTTATGTTGTCAGACTTTGTGTTCTGTTACCACACTGCTCATGTGGAAGGATGGTGATCTATCACATCAAAGATAAACCTGTTGTCTGAGTGCCTTAGGTAGGTACCATGATCAGTATCTTGGCTCCAATGTTTTTGTTTTAAAATGAAAATTCTTAAAATGAACATAAGGGAAACCAGCAGTTTGGACTAGATTTTCATCTGAATGGTAGTTAGAGGGAGCTGGGAAATTACTCTGCGCAGTGCATTGATCTCTGGAGAAAGGTTTTCCAGAGCCAGGACTTTTGTTCTGGATGAAGAGGTAGCGATGGCGTCATAACTGGAGTTGGGTCTGTTGCCCTCTGTTTGGTTGCAGCCACAGGACACTACTGGGTGCTGAGACACGCTGGTCAAAAGACTCACCTTGGTGCCCTGGAACTTTCTCCCAGTTGTAGTCGTGACAGTGAAACAAAATAGCATTCTGGCTCCATTGCCCATCTCCACGTTGATTCCAACTCATTGCTGCTACTCATGCTGTCCATATCAACCTGTCACACTTGCATATCAATTCACCCACTATACATTTTAATAACAACCCTATAATAACAATATTAACAAGTTAGTCACCATGGTCTTAGCAGGCTATAGGGCTGCTCTCTAATGAGAGAGAGAGGACTGGAGAGACTTTTTCCCTAGCTGCTCTCACTTCTGACGAAGAGTCACCGGATTCGAAACATTAACTCTGCTTTCTCACCACAGGTGCTGCCACACATGCTGAGTTTTGCCAGCAATTTTTGTTTTTGTTTGAGATTTCCAGTATCTGCAGTTCTTTGTTTGGGTTTGAATTAGTTTTATAAATAGGGGGAGCTAGTAATCAATGGGGTTGAGTATTTTATGGAGTGAAGTGAGCTGAAATGAAACTGTCACATTAGTGTGTCAATTTGAATTCCGTTAGGACCAAAACATTGGTAGCAGATAATGTTTGAGTCAAAATGTAAAGTTTTGGGGTGTGATCACCCATCCTTGTTTTCTGAAAATGAGCCTTATGACCAGTGGAAGAATGAAGTTGCAAAGCAAACCTGAGTTACTCCTTTACCAAACAGGAAACAAGGTAAGGCCTTGGCACCTTTGTTTCCATACAGAAGCAAGATGTTAAAACTTCTGTTGAATTCAAGTCTGGTAATTTGAACATTGATAAAGGTAGAGAGACTGTTAACTCCCATGGATAAAATTTATCAAAAAGATGATCTATTGACTACTTATGAGATCTTATCAGATTTTGTGAAATTAAAAAAAAATCAAGTACATTACTATGTTAGCATACATAATGGAATTCAGTGAGTTGTTGGTGAGACTGCAGAAATTTTATTTGGAAACTTCCCTATCTGTGCTGGCATTTAAGTAATTGAATTGTGGCAACATGACAACTACCAACAGACTTCTGCTTTTGAATGAAATTTGTGGATAAGCATAATGCTAGTAGAAATGTCAGAAGCACTGAAAAAAATGCCTATGAAAGTGGCAATTGTGGCACATGGAGGATATTCAGTGATACAACAGAAATAGGTGACACATTGTAAACAAACTCTTAAGAACATAGGGATAAATCATAGGTGCCAATATGAAAGGAGAATTGTAACTAATCGATATGTGGATAGAAATGCTGTTGATAATTTTGAAAAGCAAATGAACTCGAAGTACTTAGTGTGTAGTCAATCGATTTTTCAAGTATGATTCGAACTACCACTACACCATGAACTGTCCAAAATGCTGAAGTATTCAAAACCAAACATTAAATGGAGGATTTGGAGGAAAAAGATGGAGATAGAGATCAAAGCAAAGACATTGTATTGGTCACAATAAATTTTACCCTGAGATGCTTGTATTGGTGGTAGAATTTTCCACTGTCCAGTTTAGCACAATTGACTGCATTTCTACTGTGTGGAATAGACTGGCTAAAATACTAGAAAATTAAGGAATTTGAATTTTCACCAATTTCAAAGGATGATGACACACTAAAATCTTTTGAAAAGAGTAGTTATTCATTGTAAAATAGCCATAATCGATCATTTTATTAGCGCAAACATAGTGTCCAGTGAAATACCCTTATTATGAAGTAAGTCATCAACGAAGAAAAGACAGTTGAAACTGGATGTAGAAAATGACAACATTCTGGATGTTGCCATTAACATGACACTGAACTGGACCAAATATACACAGTTTAAGAACAGGTCAGAGGCTTGGAATTCATTGGGGAGTAACTCAACTACTGTCTCCCAAGTATCGTCTAAAAGGCACATGCCAGGGGTGTGATGTACTATAGTCCAGTTGTGTGGATGAGTGCAGATCCAACAATACTCCAGAACCTTGACATCGTCCAGGACAAAGCTACCCACCTAAGTGGAAATCCATCTGAAACATTCAACATTCACTCCTTTCAGCACTGATGCATAGTAGTATTAATGTGTACCCCCTACAAGATGCACTACAGTAACTCATCAAGGCACCTTCTAAATCTGTGACCTCTACCACCTGGAAGATGATGGTTGACAAGTGCATGGAAACAACACCACCTGCCAGTATCCCTCCTGGCCACACACCATCCTGACTTGGAACTTTATTGCTATCTCTTCACTGTTGCTGGGTTTAAATCCTGGAACTCCTTTTGCTAATGGGATGTAGCAACACCCACACAAGTTAAGGGCTGCAGCTGTTCACGAAGACCTTTCACCCACATCTCCAGGACAATTAGGAATGGCAACAAATGCTGTCTTAGCCAGTGATCTTGAAATCCCATGAAAGAAAATATATGTAAAAACCATGTTTTTGTTTAAAACTTTGTAGATAAGTGGTTATAGAAGTGATGGGTAAGCAGGACTTGGTCCAATATAGGACATAGGACAATAAGACATAGAAGCAGAAACAGGCCATTTGGCCCATTGAATCTGCTCCACCACTCAGTGAGATCATGGCTGATTTGATAATCCTCAACTCTACTGGCCTGCCTTATACCCATAATTGTTGATTTCCCTTGCTGATTAAAAATCTCTGTTTATATCACCCTTGAATATATTTAACAGCCAAACCTTCACAGCCCTTTTGTGGTAAAGGATTCCATTGATTCACTTCCCTCAGAAAAATTTCTCCTTCATCTCTGTCTTAAATGGGCAATCCTTACTCTGAGATTGAGATTGTCTTCTGGTCCTAGACTCGTTGTCAAGCGGAAACAACCTCTCTGCATGTTCCCTGTAATACCCCGTAAGACTCTTGTGTTTTGGTAAAATTACCTGTCATTCATCTCAAGTCCAGTTAGTGTAAGTCCAATGGGAAATGTAAGTGTGATACAGGAAATGTACATTACATGCAAGACTTTTAACATGTTTGGTGATCTTGTAACTTGAACAATCATAGCAAACCCTCCTACTTTTATACTCCTTGCAGTAAAGCCCAAGATGCTATTTAAGTGACTAATTACTTACTAGCATTTTTCAACAATGTGATTTGACACAATGTTATATATATTAAGTAAATAGCGATGCTTGGAAGAAGTATGTCCTTCCTATATTACACTTGGGTTTTCCTGTCACAGCGATCTGCGAGAACAGAACTTGAACTAGTCACCATAACTTAGTGACCTTGATTGTCAGTAGATAATACAGGATCAGGAAAGTTCTGAAGGTTTTTAATTTTGCAGCAACTGTGGATGATTTCAAAATTTGTTTGAAAGTAGACAGTACAGAAATTGGATTCAGCAACGTTTTTTTTTCTGTCAAGCAAATAAAAATGAACCTCTGAAAGACTTGTGGGAAGTTATAATTGACATCTTATATTGTCACAAACAAAATGCGTATTGGCCAATACTGTTCAGCTCTAAATTTATAAGAATAGCAGCATCACTTAATGTTAGGGCGACTAAAAATCATTTAACTGTATGTGTATTATTCAGCTTCTAATATGTGGGGTTAATGGACAAGACAAATAGTGGCACAGGAATCACATGCAGTTGTAAGACATGATGTTGCTTTAATTCCCATGGCATTGCTCACTGTGATCAAACGATTTGTGGTTTTATAACTACGTGGATGTTTCTACTGAGACAAATTCCATTTTTATCAAATGCATTGAGGACATTTTACTTATGCTTTGAGAATTTAATTCCACAGCAGTACCCATGATTAGGACAACTGTAAATCAGTGGTGTTAAATATTTTATATATTCTATTACTTATGCAGGTCTTAGTCCATAACATTTTAAACAAGAATATCAATGTGTAATGTACAAGACATCGATTAGAATTATACGTCTCTGACAGCAGGCCTAAGGAGCGGGATTGGGTTTTTAAATATGCTTAGAAAATGCCATTTTTGGGGACAGTCCAAATTCCTACATTTTCAGTCAAGGATCTGCCCAGTTATTATGTTTTGAAAGCTACATTGATTTTCATTAGATGAGGGTGTTCAACCTTCAATTATTCTTGCAGTTCTATTGCTTCTTTATTTTTGTTGTTGTACTTATCTTGGCTTTAGACCACGTTGACCATTGTTAATAGCAACTGAAGTAAACTCCCAAATTAGGTCAGTGCACCAAGATGCTCTGTGCTTTGCATAAATGAAATTGCAGAGAATTGACCAAAGGAACTTTTTTTTTTTAAGCCCTTTCCATTATCGACCATTTCTTGTTGCAAACTTAGTAGTCTGGCTGGTATTTGAGCCGCAGAGATTGTGATTTTTCTCGGTTAGATCCTTTACTTACCTGTCGAAGTAACATTTTTGGTCTTTAGTTTTAAGTGTTTAAATTGAAGAATACTCAAACTAGTAATCATTGCTCCAACATGGACAGTAATATTATTTGGAGACTCAGCATAGGTTTATGCAAAAATGTCTTCATTATTATTTTTTTAAAAATCGAAATCAATGAAATGAAACGAAACAGAATAAATGGTGTGGTTCCCCAAATATGGATTGTAGTTTTAAAACTGAACGACATTGATGCATGTAGTGTTAATGCAACATTGCATCCAACTTGTATTGTTGGAGTGGCTGAATGTATTGGGAGCCCATCTGTGTGTGTCAGTTCTATAGGAGTCTCGGGAGAATAAAGCTCATAAGGAGAGATTACATTTAGTAAATTTAAACACGATTCCATGTCAGGTTCTGTTTCTTCAACATGGCTTTTTAATATTTGATGCAAATTTGGCTTGGCCTTTGCAGAACCATGAAAATGGGTTGTGTTGTATGTAGTTTGACACTTATGAATCATTTAATCAAAGAGTAATGCTAAATATTCCAGATAACTTTGAATAAAAAAAAAAGAACAAAAACTGAAAATGCTTGAGAAACCGAGCAGGTCTGCTGCATTTGTGGAGAGAAAGCAGTTGACTTTTGAGAATCCAGTGACCCTTCAGAATTTTGAAGAAGCGTTTGTTACAGAGTAGCTTGACCGATGTGTATTCCTATTTAAGTGCTTTTGTAGGAATCCTTTTTTTTCAAAATTTAACCAATTGCATGAACTGTTTTCGCTTTGTATTGTGTTGGTCTTTCTAATTTCCTGATGAAATGCCTGGCTGAGTCATGCTCAAATTTGTGGTGTGCAAATTTCCATTTATGTGGAATTTTTACCGAGAATCAAAAAAGTAATTCACTACTGCTTTTTATTCTCTGCTGTTCAGTGATATTGACTTGGTAGTGTTTGGAAAATGGGAGAGTCTACCTCTTTGGACTTTAGAGGAAGCACTTAGGAAACACAGTGTTGCTGATGAGAGCTCTGTCAAAGTCTTGGATAAAGCAACCGTAAGTATTTCAGTTTATTTTTGCATGTTAATCCTTTTTGTCTATCTTGGAGAAAAAACTGGCAAATACAAAAATACGATTGCAGTGTTTGTTGTTAGCAAATGAACGGTGTGGATTGTAGTTTTAAAAGTGACATTGATGCATGTGGTGTTATTGCAACATTGCATCCAACTTGTATTGTTGGAGTGGCTGAATGTATTGGGAGCCCACCTGCATGTGTCAGTACATTTCAAGGGAGAATAAAGCTCCTAAGGAGAGGTTACATACAGTAAATGTCAGGTTCTGTTTCTTCAACACATTGGCCATGGCTTGAATGAGGAAAGGGGATTTGTTCCAACTATAACCTGGTGTCGTGTGACTTCTGACATTAAGGCCAGGAGACATGTAACTTGCACACAATGTGGCAAATGATACAAAATGACCCCATTAAGAAAGCCTGGAAAGAAGTATCAGATAGTAAATGAATCATAGAATCCCTACAGTGTGGAAACAGGCCCTTCGGCCCAACAAGTCCACACTGACCCTCAGAGCATCCCACCCAGACCCATCCCCCTATAATCCACCTAATTTACACATCCTTGAACACTCTGGGCATTTTAGTATTGCCAATCCACCCAGACTGCACATCTTTGGACTGTGGGAGGAAACAGGAGCACCCGGAGGAAACCCACACAGACAGTTGCCCGAGGGTGGAATCGAACCCAGGTCCTTGGCGCTGTGAGGCAGCAATGCTATGACTGTAAGATCCTCCTGTCTTTTTCTGTTTGTGATATTAATTCCTCTACTCTCTGCTCCAAACCTGTAACAGATCCTTCACTGTCAATCACAAAGGAAATTTATACCAAGACTCAATTTCACTCTCAATAAACATTAATCTGCTGCTTACTGCCTTCAATGTTTTCAGTAACTGCTTTTCTTGCCTGATGAGGAGGAGCCTGTATCTGATTTCATGACTATTTTCACTCAAACTGCTCTCTTCAGAATTACCGCCCCCATTCTCGCTACATTTGCTTCTTGTCCTTTTATAGTTTATCTACTACGTTGACTAAGACCCATATACTTCCTCCTTTCTAATCACTTAAACCTTTGCCTCCTGCCTCTGCAGGAGAAACCTATCGATATACTTTTATTTAAGAATAGTTATGTATGTAGGAAGCAATTAATGAAAGTAAATACAATTAAAATTAAGGAAATGACAGAGATATTGGGAACATGGTTTTAGAATGGTCATGTCATTGGACCAATAATCCAGGTTCAAATCCAGTTATGCAGTTGGAGTTTAAATTCAGTTAATAAATCTGGAATTGCTAGTCTTGGTAATAGTCATCTAAAAAGTATTACTTATATTGGTCTTCCAGAATCCCTTGGATTCCAGAACAGTTACCAAAAATTGAAGTTAGTAAACATCAGTCTCTTGCTGAAAACTGTAGACAAGTTAGCCTAACATCTGTTTTCTTTATTTGTTCTTGGGATGTGAATTTTTTCTGGCCAAGTGACCATTTGTTGCTCATTCCATAACAGTGAGCAAGTAGTATTCTGGTTGCTGTTATAGTAGCCCATTGTTAGGCCTTTAGTTCAGAATCCTTACAAAAATCATACGAACAAATGAATTAAGAGCAAAAGTAGGCTCTGAGTATGTTTGACATTCAGTCAAATTTTGGTTGTTCTACTTGTAACTAAGATAAAATTAAGGAGAGTCCACATGATTATCCCAAAAGAAGGATCTATTAACAATCCTTGAGGATGTAACTAGCAGAATGGATATGGGGAACCAGTAGGTGTCAAGTATTTGGACATTCAAAAGAGCATTCTGTAAGAGGTTATAACAAGAGTTCATAACACAACACAAAACTGGGTCTCCTAAGAATTTGATAAATATATTAATATGAATTGATTGGCAGACAATAGGAATAAAAAGGACATATTTGAGTTGGCAGCTGTAACAACTAATCACACAACTGCTTGGGTATCAGCTATTTACAATCTATAATAATGGCTTGGGTCATAAGATATAGCAGTAGGAATAGGCTATTTGGTGCATCAGCCTACTCCACCATTCATTATGATCACCGGTTGATCTGATTGTGATCTATTGCGGGGACAAAGGATAATATGTGTATCTGCTCACTTAGCACCACCTCAGCCAATAGTTCTCCATGATGCTTGAAAGCCAGTTTAGCCAGACGACCCTGAAGAGCTGCAGTTCACAGTCCACGACCTCTCAAGATTGAGATTACATAGATTGCAATTGAAGAGGCTCAATATCTATAACAGTCAGCTGAAGCTTCAGTAGAGGAGCTCGTTCTAATTGTCCTAACAAGTGAACTTTCAATTTTCTTTCCAAAAAAGCACCATAGATAAATTAATGCAACTGATTGTGTTTGTGTTTGGGTGCCTGCTGAAATCTTCACATTTGATACATCTGAAATATGTTCGTAAAGCTGTTAATAAATCTGTCAGTGATTAATGTACAAGTTGGCTAAATGTTTTCAATGTCATGCAATGCATGCACGTAAAACTGCTAATAATGCATTCTGGTTTTAGCTTTTTAATGTAGCATCCTTTCACCTCACCTAAAAATTGAAAATTAATTCTTTGCAAAGAATACTAGGTAGACCTTCTACTCTTTCTTGCATTTATTCAACCAATCTTCATTTAGTGGATCTGCCTGTTCCAGTTTCAGTCTGCTATGGATAGCAATATTGTGCGCGATGTAGCAAGCCACAGCAGTGGTGGACACTGTCTTTGGAGCATACTGCAGAGATCCTGAGGCATGTCAAGGCACCTTGAACCTTGGTTTAAGGAGCTAGAAAGTGAACTGAATGATCTTCTTCGTGGTGTGAGAGCCATCGTATGGCTCAGCTACTCTGTTCTGAAGAACAGCGATAGATTTTTGCCTAAACTGCAAATCTTCTTTGGAGGTTGGAAAGTGGAAAATATTCCTTTCAGTGCCACAGGAAAAATGAATCATGATTGCTGCTGGGAATTTGGCACAGATGTATATACTCCAATTGTTCTGATCGCAACCAAGCTGTATGTCAATTCAGTGAAATCCCTTGTGGTTATCAACGGTACTAATTTGTTTTAAAGATGTCTGATGGCAATATGAATGCAGTCAACAACTGTCTTCATTCTAGGGACATCATTTGCAAGTTGTTGCAAACCCCAAGACTGTCTGCCGCATTTTGATTGTTGGCATCAATTTGAAAACGTGTGCTCGTAATTATTGAGAGATTATGCAGATATTCTTTGTAGTATTTTTCAGGTTATAATTAGTCGTAGAGATGTACAGCATGGAAGCGGACCCATAGTCCAACTTGTCCATGCCAACCAGATATCCTAAACTAACCTAGTCCCATTTGCCAGCATTTGGCCCATATCCCTCTAAACCCATCCACATGTCTTTTAAATGTTGTAATTGTACCAGCCTCCACCAGTTCCTCTGGCAGCTCATTCATACATGTATCACCCTCTGCATGAAAAAAATTGTCCCTTAGGTCCCTTTTTAAATCTTTGCCGTTTCTTCTTAAACCTATGACCTCTAGTTTTGGACACCCCACCCTGGGAAAAAGACCTTGGCTATTTATCTTATCCATGCCCCTCATGATTTTATAAACTTCTATAAGGTCACCCTCCGCCGCTGATGCCCCAGGGAAAATAGTCCCAGCCTATTCAGCCTCTCCCTATCGCTCAACCCTCCTGCCCTGGCAACATCCTTGGAAATCTTGCCTGAACCCTTGGGTAATGTCATGGTATATAGTTTGTTTTGACTGGTTAGCAACTTTGCTTAGTTAATTTTCAATTGTTTATTGTTTTGGCAGGAAGAAATTGAGTTCTGCAAAAATTAGATCACTTTTTTATAATTTTTGTTTTGTATTAACTTTTTTTTTGTTCTTTATGCATTAGGTACCTATTATTAAACTAACAGACTCCTACACTGAAGTAAAAGTTGACATCAGCTTCAATGTACAAAATGGAGTAAAAGCTGCTCAGCTTATTCATGAATTTATCAAGGTAGAAGATTCTGCACTATAATATGTAATTTATGTTGTGTTGGTTTGGGGATGAATGTCGGCCATGACCTTGAACTGAATTCTCCCATTCTTTAGATATTTCACATGCAATAAGGTAAATGTGTTCTTGGTTTAAATTTGTTTATCAATTCTGAAGCTAATAGATCAGCAAAGATACTTATTGATTTGAGTCAAGTTTCACATAAAGATCACTTTTGGTTCTTCATTTTCTGATGTAACATTGCTGGGATAGTAAAGTGGCCCAAAAGAATTTTTGTTTTTTTTTTAATTCCTTTCCCATGTTGTGACTGAAAAGGATCTCACTAAAATTTCATGTTTGGTATTTCAACTCCCCCTTTTATGTAGTCTCATTTTGAATGTTCTAGTTAAGTGTATGTATCCCCTGCCTAGCTGATTTATCTTAAATATGTATTGCTCCTTTGGGCAAAATTTGATGATCTTATTAATAAGCTGTTCTTAAATCTGTTGTATGTGTCTTTAAGAATGCAACGTGTCCTCATAGCACAGCCCTTACATTTGAGATCAGTCAGTTTCCGGCAGAGCTTCCCAAACATTTTCCCTTGTGATCCAGTTTTGAAATATGAAAACATTTGTGATGCCTCTGAGAGACCCGCAGGAGTGGGATGAGGTAGAGGGACTGTGAAAGTGGGGCACCTCTGTCTATGTAAAGGCAACTGTTATACCTTGGTTAGAGCTCCATAGTGGCCACTATTGCCTTGGAACTTGTGATTCCAGAATTTGAAAAGTTGTTAACAACAATTTTGTAAGTGTAATTAGAAAATTAATTTCAATGCAGGTAAGTATGAGGTGTTGGGAAGAATAAGGGTTGAACATATGGATAACTGAGAGTTAAATGGAATGGAAAAGCAAAAGGGATCACAAATACAGGTGTAGGAGTCTTATTTCAGTGAAATAAATGAAAAATACACTGCAGCAACTCTGCAAAACCGAAAGAATCGCAAATACCGTAAGTCAGAAACAAAAATGCACATGGTTCAAAGCTCAGCAGGTCTGGCAGCATCTGTGGAGAGCAATCAGTTAACGTTTTGGGTCGAGTGACCCTTCCTCAGAACTCTACTACATACAAGGGCATGAGAACACCGTCTGCAAGTTTTTGTCCAAGACACAGATCATACTGATTTCAAACTCTATTACTGTTTTTTTTTCTCTATTGCTCGGACAAAATCCTGGAACAGCACTGTAGATGTAGCTACACCACATGACCTACAGATTTTAGGAAAGGGACTAACTACTACTTTCTCAGAGGCAGTTGGGCCTGGGCAACAAATACTGGCCTTGCCACTGATACTCATGAAAACCTGAAAATAAATGTACAGTAGAATGTTGTAAAGTTATTAATTTCTTCATGTTGAATTTTTCTTTTTTTCCATGTCCTTGGTAATTTTACTTCAGATTTCCAAAAGTACCATTTAAGGATGAACATTATTTTGACACTGCTAATTTCCTGTGTACACCTATCAAGTGTTTTCTTTTCTGTAGAAGTTTCCTGTGCTCCCGTACCTGGTTCTAGTGCTGAAGCAGTTCCTGCTGCAGAGAGACCTAAATGAAGTGTTCACTGGTGGCATTGGCTCCTACAGCCTATTCCTAATGGCTGTTAGTTTTCTACAGGTGAAAAACTTTATCTGCAGATTATTATGTATGTTCTCACCTAGTTTCTTAGGAATATTGAAGCACATATGCAGGCACTCAGCCCTTTGAGTGATCCATTAGATCCTATCTAACTTATGCCTCTACTCCACTTCCTTGTCATTGAACTACCTCCCTACATAACCTTCCCTGATAATTTTAAAGAAGAATCTTTTGATATTGCAGTTGGAAATTTCAATTGCACTCCGTCCACACTTGAGAAAATTCAAAAAACCTGTAGAAAAAGTGCTTTTTGAATAGCATAGCTCTCGGTTTAAGATTTATATGCTATTTTTAAAAGAAGGACTTCTTCAATGTGGGAGATTGCTTCTCCATATTGGAACTTTTTAGTATTTGAAAAAGGCTTAAATTATATTCACATGACTGAAATAGATAACGTGCCCATAACTGATGTTAAACTGACTAGTCTGTAGATTTGTGGTTTCTCCTTATCCCCTGTCCAAACCACTGGAGTGATACTTGCAATTTTCAGATCGAATATACAGTTTCCAAATCTAGAGGGATTTGGAAAGGGTGATCAATGTATTTGCAATTTGCCTAACTTTCTGTTATAATACCCTGAGTGAAAACCATCAAATCTTGGGGATTTCTGTCTTAAATTCTGGTATATTCCTGCTCTACCATTTCATTCACTTGATTTAAATTCAGTTAATCTATCCCATTAACTGTTTTTATGTTTACTGTGTAATTGGCAATTTATTGTCTTCCTCTATTGTGAAAACAAATACAAAAAAGTCATGTAACAGATCTATCATCTAAATTTTGTTCAGCACAGTAACGCTTCTATCAATGCTTAAACGTTTCACATTTTCTCATCACTTTTTTTCTGAAAATACTCTCTAATCTCTAAACATTGTTTAATTTTGTTTACTACAACTCTCTAACACAACTATCATTTGTTGATTCTCAAACACATTGTTGCAGAAAAGTTTCTTAATGTATTCTAGAAAATAAATAGTAAATTGTGTTTCTCTATTTTCCTCTTGTTTTCCCATCATAAAGTCCCTCATTTAAGCAAATCGTTGCCTCAAAAGTGAGCATAATTGAATAGTTATTTGTAATTCCTCATACCTATTTGGTATGAGAATCTGGTTGTTCTTCCTAGCTGTTGTAAACATGGTACTTCATGCTAAGGATCTCTCTTGGCAGACTCCTCTAAGGAGAAGAAATCTGTAATGTAAACTGTTAACTATGTGGTATCATGCTTCTTATTAGGAGTTTTTGGTGATACTACTTGTATATTGAAGTTAGTGTTAGTGACTGCATGTGAGTTCATAAGTTGCTGTTAGAAATATGCCTTCTGTCTCACCAAAGATGCTACACAAGAGGTGATTTTCTATTTTGTTATGCAAAAATTCTGCAATGTCCCTTTGGTCTTTCTGGTTGGTTGAATTATTGATAAGTCCATAGTTCATCTGTTTTAGCCTTCCATCCTAAAGGCAGCTTCATGGTTACAGTTACCTAAAGAAGGCAGAAGTCATTTTTTTAAAGAAATGTTTGATGTCTTTTATTTTTTGCAAAATCAAAACGTAACTTAACTTAATCCATAATATTCCTTTGTTTGTAGTTACATCCTCGAGAAGATGTCTGCAGCTGTGATGCTAACCTTGGTGTGCTTCTAATTGAATTTTTTGAACTGTATGGAAGGCATTTTAATTATCTTAAGACTGGTATTCGGATAAATGATGGGGGCTCATATGTTGCTAAGGATGAAGTGCAAAAAACGATGGCTGATGGATACAGGCCATCAATGCTTTATATTGAGGATCCGCTGCAACAAGGTAATATTATAGTTATTTGAGATCAACAGCAGAGAGACGGGCCCTTCGGCCCATGCCGGTCAAAAACAACTGCCTAATCGTTCTAATCCCACTTGCCATCACTTGGCTAATAGCCTTGTATGCCTTGGCATCACAGATGCACATCTAAATACTACTTGAATGCCAAGAGGGTTGCTGCCTATACCACTCTTGCAGGCAATGAATTCCAGATTCCCACCATTATCTGGGTGAAAAAGCTTTTCCTCACATCTTGATACCTTTATGCCCCTTACCTTTTAAATCTAATCCCTGTGGTCATTGATCCCTTCATCAAGGGAAAAGTTTCTTCCTGTCTACCCTATCTATGCCCCTTTCAATTTTACACATCTCAATCATGTCCCCTCTCAATCTCCTCTGCTCGAAGAAAAAGAACCCAGGCTGTCCAATCTATCTTCGTAACTGAAACTCTTCAGCTTAGTCAACATCCTAGTAAATCTTATCTGCACCCTCTCCTGTAAAATCACATCCCACCTATAACGTGGATTCTAGAACTGCCACAATGCTCTCCCTGTGGCCTAACCAATGTTTTATACAGTTCTAGCTTAACTCCTCTGCGCTTAAACACTCTTGTCTCGGCTAATAAAGGCACATATACCATATGCTACCTTAACCACTTGATCCACCTGTCCTGATGCCTTAAGGGACTGGTGGATATGCACACCAAAGTCCCGCTAATCCTCAGTGCTTCCCATTGTATTACCATCCAAGGTGTATTCCCTTGCTTTATTTGTCCTGCTCAAATGTGTCACCTTATACTTATCCAGTTTGAATTCCATTTGGAGTGATCAGTCAATCTGACCATCCAGTCTATATCCAATTGTAATCTTAGGCTATCCTTCTGACTTCTATCACCCCACCAATTTTTGTATCATCTGCAAACTTCTTAATCAACCCGCCTACTTGCCAGCCTAAATCATTTATGTAAGCCACAAATGGCAAGGGCCTCAACATGGACCACTGTGGAACATCATTGGATACAGACTTCTACTTGAAGAAACCTCAACCATCACCCTCTGCTTCCTGCCACTCAGTCATTAATGGATCCAGTTTGCCAAATTTCCTTGCATCTTATGGGCTTTTACCTTCACTATCGACCTCCCATATGGGACCTTATCAAAACCTTTGCTGAAGTCCATGCTACATCAAAAGCATTGCTGTCATCTACACATTTCTTCGCAAAAGTCAATCAAGTTGGTCCGATGTGACCTCCCCTTAACGATAAAACCATGCTGTACTTGATTAACTCCTTTCTCACCAACTGCAGGCAGATTTTGACCCTCAGAATTATTTCCAACAGTTTCATCCACTGAGGTTAGACTGATTGGCCACACATGAAGTACAGTAGCCAGAGAGGAATTAAATGGCTTTACTAGTGCCCCTTCCTCCCTGGCCTCAGCTGGCATACATTTCATCCAGCCCTAGAGATTTAGCTACTTTTTAAGCTTGCCAGACCACTCAGAATCTTGTCTGTATGATGTATTTCAAGAAATATAGGACAGACTTGCCCCCTGATTTCCCGTATCATTGCTCTCATTAGTGAACACCGACACAGTATTCATGTAAAAGCCTACCCACGTCCTCTGGCTCCACATGCAAATTAGTGTTTTGCTCCTTAATGGGCCCTCCTCTTTCATCATTATCCCTTTACCCTTGATATACCTGTAAAAGAACGTGGGATTTTCCTTCATTTTCCCTGCCAATATCCTTTCATCTCTGCTTTTAGCACTCCTAATTTCCTTTTAAAGTTCCCCCTTGCACTTCTGCACTCATCTCGGGCTTCTGCTGTTTTGAGCCCTCAGTATCTGCCATTAGACTCTCTTTTTCTCTTAATCCAATGCGGTGTATCCTTCAATATCCAGGGTTTTCAGGATTTGATTGTCCTGCATATTTAGGTGTACTCTCAATATTTTCATTCTTGAATGTATCCCACTGTTCTGAGACAAAGTATCTGTTTCCAGTCCACTTAGACCAAGTCATATCTGATCTTATTAAATTTAGCCTTTCCCCAATCTAGAACTTTGATTTCAGACACATTCTTGTCCTTTACTATAACAGTTTTGAATCTAATGGAGTTATGATTGCCATGTGCAAAATGCTCCCCATCTGATATTTTAATCACTTACCTTTTTTCATTACATAAAATGAAGACCAGGACCCACCAGTTGTCTCGTAGTACCCTCTACATACTGGCTTAAAAAGCTGTCCTGGATGTATTTTAAGAATTCTGCTCCTTCTAAATATTTCACACTTTGACTGCACGAGTAAATGTTATGGAAGTTGAAATCCCCTACTATTACTATTGTACTACTTTTATACTTCCCTCAGATTTGCCTACATATCTGCTCTTCTAATTCCCTTGGACTGTTAAGAGGCCTGTAGCGTACTCCCAGCAATGTGATTGCTCCTTTTTGATGTTTAATTTCTACCCATAAAATTTCATTTGAACAGCTTTCTAAAATGTCATCCCTCCATATAGCTGTAAGATTTGTCGCTCAAAATTTTGACACTTCTTTCCCTGTGTTCCTCTTCCCTCTTCCCTGAAGAGAAAAGTTGTGTAATTTGTTCAAATACCAATGGTACTGAAGTGATGATTAAGATTATAGATAATGTGGAAAACATATAGTCAGAAATTTATTTTGTGATAACACTCTTAAATGTATTCTTCCCTTTCCTGTAGAGTTACTGATGCATGGAAGTGATTATCAGCTAGTGTTGTGACTAGGGTATTGTAATTCTTCAAAATATTAATAAGTAACTGCCATGAAAATACTTTCATGTTTTCTCTAAGTTTGCAGTAAAATATTTTGAGTAGTTTCATTTTTTTTGTATAATGTCTGACATTAGCTGTGCTCTAAGTAGTCAAAGTAACTTATAGTAAATGCAATAAAATAGCACCTGTGTTTTTATGTTTTCATTTGATATTTATGAAGGTAGTTTATGAATGTTGTCAATTGCTGCCTGAAAAAATTGTTTTTTTTTTAAATTCCATGATGCACAGTAATGTGCTGTATAAAGGTGTAACAGCACTTAACTAAGAAACTTGTGTTTCTGGTGTCGCAATCTATCGTACAGCTAAGGATTTTGTTTGTCAGTGTATTTAACAGTTCAGTTATAAGTTTACAAAAATTTAATCTTAAATCTTTAATACTATTTACCCATATGGACCAATACAAAAATCTGTGTGCTGGAGACCATTTGGCTGCAGGATGATCAACAAGTGTATTTCTCATCAATTTATTGCAAAAATGCATCAGAAATTGACCCAATCATTTCAAGTTTGGATTGTTAATTATTTGGAATCTTTCAAGTTTATTTAAATCAATAAAATATACATTCCACTACAACTACACAGCAGAAAGTAAAGAACAGGAAATTAAGTGAAATATTTCAAAACAAAGATTGAAAAGACTGAATAAAATATATACAAGGAATAAATGTCAAGATAGTATTCCAAAATGTACTAGCATAAACAGGCAGTCCATTAAAGCTGCTCTTAAATTTGCTCTGCTGTCAGACAAATTAACATGTAGTACGTGAAATGAGGAAAATATTTGTTCAGGTTATATAATCTTGAATTTTTTTATGATTGTTTAAATTAAATTAGAAAGTGTTAAAGTGATATACCTGGTGCTAGACACTAAATGGATAAATCATAGAACTCTTATAGTGTGGAAGCAGACCATGTGGCCCATCGAGTTCACATTGACTGACTGACGAGCATCCCTCCAGATCCCAACCCCCTCCTTTTGCCTGTAACCCCCCATTTCCCATAGCTAATCTACCTAGCCTGTGCATTCCCTGGACACTATGGGTAATTTAACATGGCCAGTCCACCTAACCTGCGCTTCTTTTAGATTGTGGGAGGAAATCGGAGGACCCGTAGGAAACCCATGCAGACACCGAGAGAATGTGCAAACTCCACACAGACAGTCGCTCGAGGGTGAAATCAAACCCAGGTTGCTGCCCGTATGAGGCAGCAGTGCTAACCAGTGAGCCACTGTGCTACCCAAATCATGGAAACATTTGCATATTTTTTGATATTAAATGATTTACCATAGAAGGAAGCCATCCAACATCGTACCTGTACCAACTTAGTTCCCACAAACGGCCCACAAACCTGTAATTACGTTTACTTAAGAATTTATCCAGTTTTCTTTTATAAATTACATTGAATCAACTTTCACTATCTTTTCAGGCAGTTTATTTCAGATTGTAACTTGCTGTAAAAGGGCTTGTTATCTTCAGTTCTTTTTTGTCTATCTGTGTCCTCTGGTTGCTGACCTATCTGCTGCTGGAAACGGTTTATCCATATTTGTACAAATTTTTTTTTAAATTTTCCAATTGTTTTTGAGGGTCTGGAACTAAAATTAATGTGATGGTGATAAAAATCGTTTGGCAGTATTTAGCCCATATCACACTAATAAAAATACAATTCTTCTCTCTGACACCACCCTAATCTCTTGGCTGTGTTAGAGCAAGAAATGTAGAATTAATTTGGATGTACAGTGCAGAACCAGGCCATTTAGCTCAACTGTCCATAGCAGTGCTAATGCTGTACTTAAATCATCTCCCACCTTTCTTCATTAAAATTCACCACCATAATCCTCTATTACATATGCTTATCTGACTTCTCCTAAAGCATTTCGATTGTTTGCTTCAATAATTCCCTGTGGTAGTGAACTTTTACAACTCTTTGGGTGAACAAATTTCTTCTGAAATCCCTATTTAGATAGTTACCAAGAAATCCAATATTTGATAACATCATGTTATCCTCTTTCCCCACTCCAGTTAAACACCCTCTCTCTATCCATTCTCTCAACTTTGCATGATTTTAAATATCACTACTGGGCCTCCACTGAGCATTTTTTTTCAAAAGAGACCCAGATTATCAGTCCTTTCCTGATATGTATACATGCATTTCTGGTTTCATCCTACTTGATCTATTCTGCAGTCTCCAGTACTTCTGTATACTTTGTACAATTCTGACAAAGCTAATATTAAATATTCTCTACATTGTTTAACTGAGGATTGATGTAATTTAGGCATAAGTAATGTGCATACAATGCATAGCTTTGTAGTGATTGATCTTGACACAAGTTCCCTCAGTGAATTTGACTGAAGCAGGGCTTGTGGGTAACGCCGGTGGCTTTCAGACTTCTGCTTTTAGCTGAGCAGGTGTGGATGCTGTAACTTTGTGGGTAAAGTAGCTGTCAGGTTTTTACTCTTTGATTAAAAATATCTTTGACGATACAGCAAAATCTGGACCAGTGCATTTTGATTTGGTATATTTGCGTTTCATTTTATGGAATTAGACTTTGGCAGACGGTGTCCATAGTGTGTTGAGTAATTTTTGTTTTTCTCTTTTCTAAAGAAAATGATGTTGGTAGGAGTTCTTATGGTGCCATGCAGGTAAAGCAAGCCTTTGATTATGCCTATGTTGTTCTAAGTCACGCTGTATCTCCAAATGCAAAATATTTCCCAAACAGAGAATGTGAAAGGTAAGATATTTTTGAGCAATTTAAGACTATTTGTGTAACATATAATAAATAATTTTTCCAGAAATATCATTTAATATTCTTTATATCTTAACAGTATATTGGGTCGAATAATCAGAGTAACTCAGGAAGTCGCTGACTACAGGACTTGGATACATGAACATTGGGGACCACCGAACAGTAATGATTCTCCATTTAATGGTAGGTGTGTTGTGACTGAATTATTGTATTTGTAATAATTTCTAGTAACTAATAACTGAAAGAAATTTAATGTCATTGTATGTTTATTACTGACAAGCTGGAGCCAAATATAACGAAGAATCTGTAGCTTATTGTCCTATTTTCACTGTTTAAAGCGACATCAGAATTACCTTTTCTACTTCCTTAGCTTGCACACCTCTAAACCTTAGCTGCCTACTTTCCAGGCTGAATAACGAGCATTGAAATATCTCGTTAATGTTAAGATTCTTCATGTGATCAGACAAGTGGCCACTTTTCAATTTATAGGGCAACAGTGGAATTTCATATCACCCAACACCGTTGTGAGATCGGAATTCACTGAATAGTGATTTTTCTTTGGATGATAATGGGTTAGAACTTTGTGGCCATGTTGTGTGATGAATATTGATTGAGAAATAATTGCAAATTGATTATTTATTAAAAATGATTATGAAAGACAGAGTTCCTGTAATGAATAAAAATTTTCTCTTCCTCTTTTCTCAGGGAATGATGTGACTTTGCTCGTTGGCCCACCACAGCTGGATAAATGTAACAACAATATTTCAGAAGAGTGTGCAGTCATAGGCCAGCCCAGATGCAGGACCTCTGAAACATGTCTCAGCAAACACTCTTCAAACTCATCATCTGGTCCATTGTCATCTGCATCTTCTACCTTATCGAGTTCAAGTGATGTTGTAAGTGACACACTTTGTATGGTAGGGTTCCCTTTGTGGGAGTGCAAGTATTCCATATCTAATTTGAAAATTTGCATGTTTCTTTTTATATATAGCTTGCCAGATACTTAGGACTGTAAGTAAGAAGAAAAATAAATTATTTGCCAACATGTAAAAACTGTTGAAAGTATACTAGTCCACATGGATAGCTGTCAGCACTTGATTGTAATTGTGCTTTGGAGGTTGTTTCTCCACTGATCCAGTTCTGAGGTTAATTTGAATGTGTTGTGCATTTTCAGTTCTGTCATCTGGCATACACTGAGAATTGGCTCAAATGTGAGTGAAGTGAAGGACTCTTGCTGTTTGCAAAGGAAAGGATTGAAACCTGGTTAATAAGAACAAAACAAAAGGCACACTGGAAACATCTGTTGTAATGCCCAAGTTCTTTTGCGTTCTCCCATTTCTTGTTCTACACTGCTTCATCAGCAAGCACTTGGAAGGAGCATTGAAGACAATAAGGGCATTGGCTGTACTTTGAGTGGCAGACTTCAGTATCAAACACCAAGAGTATTTTGACAGCGCACTGCTAACTGAGGTGGCTGAGTCCTCAAAGATATAGCTGTTAGGCTGCTGTTATGGTAAATGGTATGATAAGCAGTACTGAAGAAGAACATACTTGACATCATTCTCAGCAATCCATCTGTCATCCATAAGTGTATTGGTAAGAGTGACTATCTCTGTCCTAATGGAGTTGAAATCTTCACCCACCATTGTGTTTAACCCTTCTGAAACTGAATTGATTCAGATCTGCATGTACGAAACTGGACAAACATGAGGTATTGTGGGCCTCAACTTCAGGAAAATTGTATCCAATGGCAATGATGGAAGAACCCAACAAGTGAGTGTAAAAGATAAAATTAAGATGATCACATTCATTTTAAGCCAGAAATGTCCATTGGGAACCAGCTCTGGAGGTGGGAGCATTGTCAATGACATATCCTTGTTCAGATTTACCATTTGTTTACCTGGTATATAACTTCTTGTTCCAAAGGAAGTGCCGACATTAACAACTGATGATGAAAATGGGATCCAGCCCACAAACCATGTACAAATGCCTTTTTCCTTTGTCCAGAGGAGATGTTGCCATGACTTGAGAATCTGCGCAGGAATAGGGAGGTAACGTCTAGGGGAAGTGGTCTTGAGGGGCTGCAGTTGACACCAGGAAAGAAGATACTCATGGGGGAGCTGGCTGATAGCAACGGCCATGAGGGGACTCGGACTGACAGTTGAAAAAGAGAAATCGCACCTGGGAGCTACCAAAGTCATTGCAGAGTGTGGTCGTGAGGGTATTCGGGCTGCGGGCAATGTCAGAGAGGAACGGTACGCTAGCACACCTGGTGAGGGAGTATTCACCGGTCTGCGAATGGCTACGAGAGTTGAGTGGTAAGCAAACAAAATGGCAGGCCAGTATGGGGTGAGGGGACTGTTTGCTGAAAGGTTAACAAAGTGACTGAGGACACCATGGTACCAGTTTTCTTAAGTACCGTTGGGAACAAGAAGATTCTAAAGAGTCTGCAACCTGAGAAACCCAAAGAGAAGATATTCCAAGAGCTATGCAAAGTGTTAAGAAATGAAATCGCACCCAAGTCATTGATCGTGGAGTGTTTCCATTTTTACAAATGGGTACAGCATGAAGTAGAGTTGATTGCCTAATTTGTGGTCACCTTAAAGAAGTTGGTGGAATAAGTGCGTATTTGGAAAGTTCCTGCAATATCCTTCATGGGGCTATTTGGTTTGTGGCCTCCAACAGGAAGCCTCCAATGGAAGCTACTGAAAAGGAGACCTGGATTTCAAGACAGCTTGCGAAATTGCTAACTTGGAGTTGGCTGCCAGTGAAGCAATCCAGTTGGCTGATGGCACCCAAGTGCATCAAGTTGTGGAAACTCAGCAGAACACTGTACCGACTATAGAATGCCACCAATGAGCTAAGACTGGCGACGAGGAGTCAACATGTTGGACTCAAAACCCAATGCCACAGTTGAAAGCGAGTGAACCATATTGCCTGAAGTTGCTGGTACAACCCAAACAAGAGCATGGCAGTCAGAAAGAAATAACCCTGAAGACAAAGCGTAATGCTGGGCGTCAGCTGGATCTATAGAAGAAGCAGAAGTCATAGAGTCGGCAGAGTTTCGGTTAAATGTACTGTCGATACAGGGTGAAATCGATCGTTTCTCGATTCTTCCCAAAGTAGAGGGGAAGACTGTAAAAACGGAAGAGGATATGGGTGCAGCGGTGGCCCTGATTCCTGAATCAGTCTATAAGGAGGAATTGAGGGCAGTACATCTGAAACTTGCCAAGATTATACTGCGAATAAACACAAACTAGTGATTCCACTGAAGAGCTATATACCAGTGCAAGTACAGTTAAGGGACCAGTGTGCAGAATCACCACTTTACATAGTAAAAGGCAAATACCTTCTTATTTGGATGCTTCTAGTTATAACAATGTTGAACTGGGGCGTGGTTAATAGGCTGGTGGACTCAAACATGAGTTTGCAGAAGATCTTGGACAAGTTCGAAGATGTCTTCAAAGGAATCCTGGCAGATCAAAGAACAAAGAAAATTACAGCACAGGAACAGGCCCTTTGGCCCTCCAAGCCTGCACCGATCCAGATCCTCTATCTAAACCTGTTGCTTATTTTCCAAGGATCTGTATCCCTCTGCTCCCTGCCCATTCATGTATCTGTCTAGATACATCTTAAATGACGCTATTGTGCTCACCTCTACCACCTCTGCTGGCAACGCGTTCCAGGCACCCACCACCCTCTGCGTAAAGAACTTTCCACGCATATCTCCCTTAAACTTTTCCCCTCTCACCTTGAAATTGTGACCCCTAGTAATGGAGTCCCCCACTCTGGGAAGTAGCTTCTTGCTATCCACCCTGTCTATACCTCTAATGATTTTGTAGACCTCAATCAGGTCCCCCCTCAACCTCCGTCTTTCTAATGGAAATAATCCTAATCTACTCAACGTCTCTTCATAGCTTGCGCCCTCCATACCGGGCAACATCCTGGTGAACCTCCTCTGCACCCTCTCCAGAAGTGAAAGGAGTCGGAGTTAAATTGCAGCTGGAAGCCAGAGACTCCAACTAGGAGTTGGAAGATGCATCTGGCCTAAACGGAGGTGGAACTGGAATAGCTGGTGTAACTCGGACATTGAAACCAGTAATCACCAGTTAATGGGCCACTCCTATCGTTCTGGTCTCGAAAACAGATGGCATGGTGAGGATCTGTGGTGACTTTAAGGTTGCAGTCAATTTAGCCCCAAATGCAGATCAATACCCCCTTTCACTCGTGGAAGGGAAGGTGAAAGAAATTTTCAAAAATGGATCTGTCACAGCCCTACCTACAGATATCGGTTGCAAATGAGTCTGAGCCACCACTGCTGATGGTGACAAACAGAGCCTTTTCTGCCTCAGGTGACTTCCTTTAGGCATCATGTCAGCACTGGCTCTGTTCCGGGAACCATGGATCAAATACGAAGTGGGTTGCTGGGAATCCACAGTTATCTGGACAAAATTTTGATTACTGGATCCTCCAAAGAGGAGCATTTGAAAAATTTAGTAGAAATCCTAAAAAGATTGCAGGAGCACGGCCTACAAGCGACTGGATAGAAATGCAAGTTTTTTTTAAAGACTCCATAGAGTATTTGCCCCATGTTATCAGTGGCGAGGGACCACACAAGACGCCCAAGAAGGTGGAGGCTGTCATGAAGGCCTGTAGACCAGAGAATGTGTCTCAACTGAAATTGTTTTTGGGATTTAGGATGAGGGGGAGGTGATGGCTCTAGTGGTATGATTGTAGGACTGCTAATCCAGAGACCCAGGTCATGTTCTGGGGACTTGGGTCCAAATCCCAAATCATGCCCTTATCTGTCCAAGAGATAGGAGATATCTATATCAGATGGGTGTTTCATGTGGGGAATGAGAGTTGTTATTCCTCCCTTGTTGCACCGAGGATACCTGGCATGATGTGAAAGGAGGAGATAGCCAGGAGCTACTTTTGGTGGTCAAATGTGGAATTCCAGATTGACGCGAAATCGGGGACATGCCAACCCTGAACGTTAGTTTAAAAAAAAAAAAAGGGGCTGCCATTGTTACCACTTCACTCGTGGGAATGGCCTCAAACACCACAGCAGCAAAATTGTTGATTTTGCGGGACCAGTAGAGGAACAGATGCTAATAGTGGTCGTGGATGCTCACTCCAAAGTGGCCTGAGATGGCGGCCATGAAGTTGGTGTTGGCGGAAGCAACAGCAGACTGACTGGATGAAATATTTGCCAGGTTTGGGAACCCCTGAACAATTCGTGAGTGACAATGGTCCACAGTTTGTGATGCAAGAATTCAGCCAGTACTTGGAAAATCACGGAGTCAGACGTATGACCTTTGTATCACCTATAATAAACGGTCAAGTGAAGGGATTGTTCAAACCATGAAGCTAACCCATAAAGGCTTCACAAAGGGAGAGGTCGCTGGGAAGTGAATCATCAAGTACCTCAGCATGTACAGGGACATGCTACACACAATGATCTAGTGTTCCCTGGCATCTTTAATGTTCCTCTGCCAGCTGGGAACTGTAATTGACTTATTGCAGTCAGAAGAGAACAGATGGTAGAGTGAAATCAAGAAGGAAGATGACCAGAAGCGTGGGAATGTCAAATTCAAGGGCATTACGAAGAAGAGAGATGGTCTTGGCCTGGAATTATTCATCTGATGGAAAAATGGATCCTGGCGCTGGCTCAAACAGGTACAGACTGAGGATGAACTGGTCTGGAGGAGACATGCGGACCAACTGGACACTGCAGCTCACCAATAGGAAACATCCCTCAGAATGCTGAACTTGTCCAGATGAAACCAGGAGTATTGACCAAGTCACTTGTTTCTGAGCTAAGGTTGTCATACCCAGAGAGGAGACAACAGTAGTATCACAAGGCAACAACAGCCAATCAGATAGGGATGTATAT